CCTTCCAGCCATTATTGTGTTTCCCTTCACTTTGAATGATATTCTGATGTGCTAATTAGGGAGATGAGCTGTGTGTCTCCGAATGTGCTAAAATTTCCAGCTCAAAAATAACAGTTTCAGGGAGAGGAGGGGGGGGGGGGATTCAACTATAATATCACATGATAAACAAGACCCTTTTGAAGTTAACACCAAAGCAGGATTTTTTTTTTTTTTTTTTCGCCCGACGCACTCTGTGAAGATGGAAACACAATAAAGACAAAGCCCTCTCTAGTTCCTCTGCGCGACACACCAGCAGACACAATAAACCACCGCAAACCAAAAATATTAAACACCAATATACAGTGCGGCAGGACAGATATGAACTTATAACCTCTAATTACTGAGGACCTTCCCAGCAGCTGCAGCAGCGGTTTGACTGAGTTTATCTAATGGTCTTGAAGGATTTTAGTGGGTGGCTTTCGGAGTTCAAATTTTAGTTTATTAAATTTTTAGGATCCCACATTCTCAGTCGCTGTCATCTGATGGGGAAAGCGGTTCATATAGTGCCATATTATATGTTTAATTTATAGGAGATATGTTGCTGAACTAGGATTTCATAGTTTTTTATTGCCACAAAAATACTTGATTTTTCTTCTTTCACTTGTGTGTTAAATCATTTAAGGATGTGCAATTGTTTCAGTCTGGATTTGTGCTAGGAAGCTAAAAGAAATAAAAATAAAAAAAATAAAAAAAATCCATACTGAAGACAAAGTTGTGATTATGCCTCTAAGCAAACTTCAGCTTGTTATTGTGTGGCTGTGAAAGCATAGGAACTTGAGGATTTGGAGATACAGATCTTTTATTAATGTTATTTGCACAGAAGTGTGGGACTAGTTCAGAATGATTTCATTGTTCATTTTAAAATTATTTCTCTATAATGCTTAAATTCATAGCTGTTAAATCTGTAGACTGTGAGGAGTGAGTCATCACTCATGGTTAATTCTATAGGTAACATCCCAGATGGCAATTAAGACTATTTTCACGAAATTAAACAGCAAGCAGACAGAGCAAGGACGAAAACACATACAAGGATGAGCAACACGATGATGAAAGCCGCCTAAATGTTGCTGAGCTAATTATGAAAGAATCCCTTTGAGGCTAAGGAGAAACTGGCTCGTCTCCCACCATCTTTCCCACATCTCGTCCTTGGCCCCTGTCACAGGCAGCATCAGCCGCCTCTCCACACGCAGGTGGACACGTCCCTGCCAGCCAATGGAGATGCACCCCACAGATGGGAAAAGCAGCTCCTCTCAAACTTCCCCGGGACCATCGCTGGCACTTCTCCTCCTCAGTTTTTATCACACAAAGTGCTTCTCTGGGATAAAAAAACAAAGGCTGTTTAAACCAGTGACCTCCCCAAAAAAATCCCACCATGGGTTTCTCACTGCTCCCACGGCTCGATTCATTATAGTGCCCTGAATGTGAGAACAAAGAGACTGTTGAGCGCTGTGACAGTAGAGGTATGTATTCAAATATATACAAAAACACTCAAAAGCACTGGGTTTCCTTTTGAATCTTTGCGACTGTGTGGTCGCTGAAGTCTCTTTCACACAGAAAGACACACAGACAGTCCTTTTCACGCTTCTTAAAAACATGCTGTTCTTTTGTCAAAGCATCGTCAACATTACGAGAGAAGACGCTCTGTATTATCAGCCTCTTTCTAAGTGAACAAGCCCTGTGTTTAATGGATGATTCAGATGATTCCAACATGGTAAGGTGGTCATCCTCAGCCTAGTGTGAGTGACTCTCCATTCAGCTTCAACATGCTGACATGAAGCATTCATCGCTGCAGACTCCTGGCAAGAACTTATTCAAGGCTGGACTGTATTCTGGTGTCGTTTTAACAGAGATTAACAGGAATCACAGTCAGAGAGGCAGAAGCACTCAGAAGCACTCGACTTATTCACAAAATAAGTGATTCCCATATAGGCTTTTACTTGCTTTGTGGAGAAATGCGGAATTATGAATGGAATACAAATCCACAAATTCAATACAAATAAATTGGGTGATCAAGAGCCAACCAGCTCACTCTCTTTATCAACTCTTTAACACTGCATGTGTAGATTAAAAACACCACTTGAAAAAGATTCAATGGTTGTTTATAAAGGTCAATACCACTCATATCTGACATTAATATACGATGCTACTGTCAGGGGTTACTTAACTTAGCAAGTCCAAGCATGTAACACACCATAACAGCACATGTTGTTTTTACTCTTTGGTTTGTGCATGGATCAAACAAATTAGATAAAATTTGTGAACTTGGGAGACTGAAACTGAAACTGAGAATGTGTAGCACACCATAAGCCTAAAACTCACTCAGTGTGAACCAGGCATGATCCAACAGAGAATTATCACCTGACTCTTCCTTCAGCACGGAGCTTTATCATGAATTTTAGTGTAGTTTACTGTTTCGACAGTACAGCAGGCAGTTGTTTTGCTCAGCATGCAACAGCAGATAGACACAATTAGAAACTTGCAGGTGTGGAATATTTAGCTGCTAAAGAGCCAGATATTTCCCCCAGGAGTTGGTAGAGACTAAAAACAGAGCTAAGATAGAGGACTTAGACTTGTTTTCATCAGGTGGACACAAGCAAGACCCCAAATGAATGATAATGTGACTTTGTATCTGCTGGATGTGTAAATAAACAACAGTCTCCTAACAAGTTTGCCATATCAAATTAAAAAGGTAATGATATGATACGCTGTATTCACACAAAAAAAATTCAGTTTCAGCAATTGATTATCAATGGTAAAATATTTGAATAATAACATTGTAACCTCTGTTTAATGTGTCTTTTAATGCTTGAGAGGTTTTACGTTTAATAATGTATTGTGCACTAATGTGCATTGATCAGCATCATTATATCTTACTCTCAGCCCAGTTGTTCATGTATACTGTACCAATCTGGACCCGAGTTATTTGAAATGCATTTGTTAACTGAATATTTTTAGCAGCTTTGTACGTGGCTCACATCTTCATACAGTAGCGCGTAGACTGATTAGAATGCATAAACACTGCTCCATATTCATGACGAGTGATTCAACCATCAACATTTTTTTTCCAGGTATAACATTAAATATTCATGTAATGCTTAGTGTATGTCATGTGTGAAAATTGCTAGCATTAGTCATACTGTATGTGTAATTGTTGCAGGCAGAACATGGTTTTAATAGCTTTACCCTTTCCAATAAGCTTTCAATACAGGGATGTGTTTCCAATCACAACATTTAAACAAACAAACAACTTAATACCTCTGTGTTTTGAAAGAGGGCTACTGTGGAAAAGAAGAATTGAATAGTGTTGGGCTGGACTTTGCTGTTTGAGGTGCTATCTAAAAACTGTTAAAGCTGAAATTGAAATTGTATCATTTGAACAAGCCAAACTTAATGACGACCCCTCAGTATGATGTCACAACCGCAGAGAATAAGTTAGGGGGCAGGGCCAATCACATCATCAGCCAATCACAAAAGTAATTTCATTAGAGCTGGGTGTGGAGCACTAAGCCAAATGTAATGGGAAAGAGGAAATACCAAATACCAAAAGTGTGGAAACTATAACAATACTTTGCTTTAGCTATTAAGCTAAATCTTCTTGCAAGAGCTACTACATCAGCATAGTCCTGACATCTTCTCAGTTGAAACATGTGAATGCCCATTAGCTTGAATAGTTAACAACTAGTCAACCAGACAGGCAACAGATGAAAATCCAGTATCATTGGACTTTAAACTATTCTGAGAGCAAATTAAGTCTATGTGAGTAAACCAAGCATTAAGTAGGGCCACACACTTCACTGCAAATAACAATTATCTTTAAATTTGTATACTTTTTTTTTCTTCTTCTTTTTTTTTACCAAGCTGTTTAGTTACAAGCTTTGTCACAAATAAAAAGCTTACATTTGTGTATGTGTGTGTTTGTGTGTGTACATACATAAAATAAAAGTGTTGCTAACTGGAGTTGATGGAAAGTGTAACCAAATTATTCCTACACACTTTGTCTCACTTAAACCCTTTACATCATAATTATGGCATGTGAGGCCAATCAGAATTCATTAATCATGCTCAGATGCACTGCCTCTGGCAACCTTTTCATACGAGTGTAAAAGGTCAGTTTTCTTTGCAAGGCGGAAATGAACTCGCTGACAAAGTGATGGATGTCTCTGTGAATGTTGATGCTTCAAACAGAATCATCCCAGGTGGATTCTTACTCTTACAACCAAAGTAAAATCTCTTCCACTGAAGGCTCTGTCCTCCAGCTCAGTAAAACAAGAGATGCAAGGTATTTATGGTTGTTATCTGTATTTGTGAAAGTGATGAGCATGAGGTGCGAGTAGGTTTGTATGCAGATTAATACAGTTTATCCATCCGTAAGTATCAGAATGCATACTAAATTAATGAATGACCGGACTAATTTAATGAATTCAGTGTAGGTTTCTTCAAATTGCAAAAAAAAAAGCTAAACACTTGAAATGAAAGAAATGCAAAAGTTTTGAAATATATGCAGAAAATGACTGGACTCCAGAAACATAACAACCGCTGTTCAATTTACCAAAGGGACAAAATATACAATTAAGACATAAGGATTTGGCTTGGGCAGGGTTAACAGAAACGTAATGCCTAAAGAGTATCAATCAAAACAAAGAGATCCCAATCCTATCACTGAACAACAGCGTATTGCAGGTCTCACTGATTAGACGGGAATAGTAGTGGCTGAGGAAAATGAATTTCAGGTCTGTGACGCAAGATGAACTTTTCTGCATTAGTACTGGATTTTGGCACTGGACGCAAATTGTCAGGTGTAGAATCATCCAATAAGAATGTAATTCCTAGAGATACTGGGCTGAGAAATCCCAGAATCATTAGCATGACTTTCACTTAATTTCATTGCTGAATTCTGATATTAGTATTTTTCCTTCATTCTAAACTCAGCACCATCAACAGTACATGTACATTACGTTTACCTGAATGGAGACGTCACTGTAAGACCCTCCAATCACCCCAGAGATGGCCAGTGGCACCTCGTTTTGGACGGGTCTGGAGCCGTCTGGGCAGATGAAGCCTGGATCTTGCACCTTGGTGAGGGAGGCCCTTACGAAATCTAAAGACTGCTCCAGAGCGTAGGTGTCCTTCGAGCAAGTGTCCAGGATGTGGGCCCCCAGCTGGAGTCCGGGAAGGATGCGATCGCTGGAGTTAATCTCATCGAGTGCCAGCAGCATGGCCTCCAGTCTCTGGATTCCCCTCTCCTCGTTGATCTTTCCGCAGTCCTCCGTCCCATCGCCTTTGTGGTGCACAGGGAAGAGGCCTCCAATCACCAAATCCCCATCCATGATGATCTCACGTTTGGCCGCAGGGGGTAATCTGGAGATGCTGGGCAGGACTCCTGGTATCAGCAGCTCCAGCAGGAAAATGTGGAGCGGCCAATAATGGGCAAAATTGGCCAACGACCTGGGGCAGAGCACTACACTCAGCATGGCAGGATCAGGTAGCAGGGTTCAGCTGGTCAAAGTAGAGAGGAGCAGAGGCTCACAGAGTCTGGAGGCAGATCACTTTGAAGTCTTCTCTCAGTGGGTGCAGCATGATTGATATTTCCTGAATGAATAAAAGGATACACAAATTACCCAATTTCATATCTATCTATCTATCTATCTATCTATTAATGAGGAGCTGAGTAACAACATGATCATTATGTCTCAAAATGTGCATTATTGCCGCCCACTGACAGCTCATATTTTTCTCCTTTGTCACTGATTTTCATTAGTACCATTACTCTACTTCAGCTTTCCGCCCACAGGGTTATTGAAAGATCTGAGACAGTCACACCAAGGTATAAAACTGTGTAAAGTTTATCTATAAACTTTGTCTCGCAAGGTTCTCTAAAGTTTTCTTATCGATTCTCACTCACCTAACTAGATAAGTTCTGCTCGGTTTCTAGAAACATTACAGACAAATAATCCAATCGCTGGACAGTCCTAAACCTGACACTGTTTTGTCAGGAGGGTGAAATCAGGCTGTGAATCTTAAGAGTTGTTTTCTGAAGTGAAACAGAAGTAGATAATATTCCAACTCGGCTCTCTGTGGCTGCGTGGGGTGAAACATACCCACTGCAGTTTTATCTGAGAGACAAACTCGGGAGTTGCCACTGTCGAGTGACCACAGCAAACATTTATAGATATTTAAGGCACCTCTCGAGTGAAGCGTAATTTCCAAGCTTACAACCGAGATATCACATAGATGGTGGTTCTCTTCAATGGCTGGGGTTGCCATGGAAACATGGTGGGTAAAAAAAAAAAAAAAAAAGGGTTGGACTGCAGGGAAGTGGGCAGTGAGACATGTATGCTAATATAGATTCATATCATGCCGAGGTTACAGGTTTCGAACTCAGCAGGACTCGTGTTGATGTCTGATTGGGGTGGTGGGCTGGTTCAGTCAGGCAGAGAGGGAACCAATCATGTCTCTTTCAACACAGTCATTCATCACATTCATCAAACATACAAACAAGTTCAGCAAGCATATTGATTCGAGCAGATTTACATAGAGACGATGGACCTTTAATGACTCACACTTGCAGTCTTCTCAGGATTATTGTCAACATATTCTTATCCTAACAGATATCAGCAGAATAAGTCACATGTGAAAGTCAGAACAAGCAACGGGGGAGCTAGTTACTGACTTCTATTCAGTCACACAGTGTTGTTGCTAACGTTGTAATATTACATACAAATGTGTCACTTGTAGACACCAAATGTGCCATCAGTTCTATAATTAGTAGATATCTTAACATTCGTCATGTTATTCAACCTGGGTGAGTCCTGTTTTCCGTGCTCACAGAAGCAGAAACCACCACAGTGGGGTTTGCAGGGGTAGGCTACAAAAACACCGGCTTCTGCAGCTACACCCAGATAGGTTCATCTGTTGTATGTGAGAGTGAGTGTGAGTGAGTGAGTGAGTGAGTGAGTGAGTGAGTGAGTGAGTGAGTGAGTGAGTGAGAGGTTATTTTTGCAGGGACATTTGAGGAATATCCCAGGAGTGGGCGTAACATTGAGCAACACAGAGGAAACAAGGAGGAAAAAGTGCAATGAATGCTGAATTTTCCCGTCAGGTAAATATTACATCAGGTTGTGGGTGAGGTAATGAATCTACTACCTTCTATCCAGCAAAGAGGATTACATGTTGTAGCGAAAGTGCGAACTCATAATTTAAAATCTGCTTCAGATCTAGCGGGTGTCCTGGACACTAGGTGCAGCCGTGCAGGTGTTTTGTGTTGCTGCCTGCGACACATTTGCCCTATTATTAGAACCAAGGTGATAAAGTAACTTGAAGAGTTCAACATTAAGAGTCTAATTGCTCTTCGTTGCTGTCTGTTAGAGCAGATGGGAGCTTTCTACCTGCAAAGACTGGGTCAAAGTGTGAATTAATGGTGCAATAAGGAACAGCCAATTAGACAGGCCTATGCAAACTAGGCCAAAGTGAGGTTGGAGGTCCAGAAGAGCCTCTCGAAACCTTTAAGAAGTGCTAATAAACGCTGGAGAGTCTGAAGTGGACACTAAATACAGCCATGAAAACCACATTTCCCACCAATTACTGGAAACGCTTATTACACGGCGGCAAAATTATCAGCTGGCGTGAGCGTTAAATCTCAGCCTCTGCTTAATAGTGAAGTCGCTTCTATCAGGTCTCGATCATGTCATTAAAACTATCTTGATGTAGAAACGGCTGTCATGCTCGCAGGCGGCAACCAAGAGAGTCACTCGCTCCCCAGCTGTCTTCGCACAATATTCCCTCTGAAAGGCAAGTTCAAAAAGAAAAGGCAGCGTGCTTTACTCAGCTTTGAACCGTCAGCTAATGCGTTACTACTCTCGCCCAGAACAGAGAGGGTTTCTCCAACATTAGCATAACGATGCGTTTGAGAACACCATTCCTTATTGTCTTATCCATACATAGATAATGTGTAATGTATGACTCACTGCAGAGTTGCTCTCAGCAGCGGTGGTAAGTGGCACGTACAGTTGTAACATGTAGTCTACATGTGCTTAAGGAGAAAAAACACAATGGTATTCATGTCTGGAGAATGAGCTGAAGAGATGGTTTTAGAGTTCAATGCAGAAACACCTAAAGACTGACCACCTGTTTTTTTTGGGTTTTTTTTGCAGTCGACAAGGTCAGCTATGATCATGTCAAAATAAATCTGATGCGTTATTTTGTATAATGTGGTTACATAAAGTGGTGATCATTTCAGTACCATCACCTTTAGCATTTAGAGACTTTGCCATCAGCTTTGTGAAGCACGTAGCCCGTGTGCACTTTTGTTGAATACTTGAACCTACATGACACGACATTTAATTTAGTGTCTAATCCACTACACATAAATCATTGAGCCTGTTGAGTAATAACAGCCTAAACACAGCACTTGTCCCATGAGATAACACTGATGGCAGAGTATTTTTTTTCCCCTCTCATTATTATGACAAAATCCACAAGATGGATTATGGACAAAGTGTCATCCTTGAGTTTCACTTGTACTCATGTAATAAGACACCACAGAGCAACAGATTTTCATATTATGCTGGAGAATTGAAGCTTCATAAAGGCAGAGCATCAGTTTGCAGTTGCAATGCATATACATTACGACCTTTGATGATCCTCAATCCAAAGTGAACTAGCTGTTCAAAGCAGAAGACTTTTATCTACCACTAATGACAAACTAAAGAAGAAGAAGAAGAAAAAAAACAACAAAAAAAAAAAACTGCAGCCGCCATAACTGCACTAACGATTTCCTTCATCACATCCTCTCCAGTGGGGGGACACACACTTTATCCCTCCACCTGGATTTGTCAGCTGAAGGAATTAGGTTGTCTCTGTGGTGGTCGGCAGCCAGCTGATAGTGAGTTTGAATGCAGATCAAGTGCATCAGTTTGTCAAAAATAGCACAGGGAAATCTGCTTGTCAGTCTGTTTAAGCAGCGGATGATTTCACCGTGCTAATATCCCACCTGGATTTTTATCAATAGTGAAAACATATTGTCTTAATCACATACTGAGACTGAGAGACAAAGTGCAGCTATGTGAGAATGAGACTGGCTACAACAGGTTGTTTTTATTTAGTGACTGTTGGCCATGGTGGCGGCACCATCTAATAACAACATGATATTAACATTCATCTAGACATGGTGGTGGGTCTCCTGTAACTTACAACACCCACTGCTACATCACATCCTATCTGATTAACTGACAACAAATGTGATGCATGCCACGGTGAATCAGTGCCAAATCAGTTGGGTTTTTTAAAAAAAATATTGTGCACTGAATAAATTCTTTCATGAACCTTGCAAACTGCAAACAGTCCAATTAATTGTCATAGCAGGATGCAATTATATTGTTTAGGGCTCGGTTTGAAAACAAAAGCTGGTTGGAAAGACACCAGCACAATATAAGACTGTGAGCGTTCGGAATATTCTGTCTGGTCAAGAGGGAAAAACAACTTTGCATATTTATCCTTAGATATAAACAGTCACACTCAGGTCTTCTAATGATAAAGTGCTGTAAACCATTAGATCAAGTTCAGTTCAGTTTGTGCTGAGACACATTCACCTGTAACTAATGTTTGTCAGAGATACTAGGTGATATTTAAGTGGAATAAAGAGACATGTTGGGGAAATGCTTCTCTGTTAATAAGTGATCAATGAATTTGGTGGTAGGTTGTGGGCTACATCTTATAAGGAGGAGGGTGTTTTTTGCTGCAAATAGTTAAAATGCACAGGCACGTCGGGTGGGAAACATGCAGGGCACAAAAGTCAACAATATTCCCGGATTGCTTTTTTTTTTTTTTTTTTTTTTTTTTAAGCATCGAGTTAAAATCAAAGTTATCATTTCTTACCTGGCTGTAGCACTAGATGTGTCTTGCCGGATGAAAAACGCAAGGTCTCTTTTTCCACCAGCAGCACGACAATACACAGTCAACGTGAAGAGCTTCATGTGACGAGCAGAGTCCAGATGTTGTCCACTTGGAGCATGTTTGCGAGCCAGCGGTTTGGATCTGTCCTTGGTTCTGAAGTGTTACTCAGACTGTGCAAGTCTGACAAACTCTTCCTCCTACGGTGCTCTCCCAACTTGTGCCTGCCAGCCGCCGTGTGTGTGTGCACGAGGCTACAGACCGGAGCAATACAGCCCGCCGCCCAAGCGCTCAATACAGTATGTCCACAAGCATCGGCAGCAATGATGCTCCGAGGATTCTCTCTCTGTGTGTGCGCGTGTCACTGGCAGCAGGAGTGGGAGGTAAGAGAGTCTGAATTCAATTGTAAATTACACTTTTTTTTTACACCACATCTCCTACTCAGAGTCGCGCGTCTGTTGGGAAAGTTAATCAAATCTACTTCAAAACAAGGGCAGTGGAGAAATGCTGCTGTGGCACCCAAACACGCACACACACATACACGCACACAAACACACACGCACGCACACAGTCATACGCATGCAGCCGCTCTCTGCTGCTCCACAGCTATAATGAGTGCAGCGAGTCGACGCTGTGCTCTCGCCCTTCTCAAACCCTGACGGTGCTTCATATGGGGTTTGTTTGCAAGGCAGCGAGGTGAGTTACTGCAGCGAAGTAGAATAATGAAACCTACAAACAGAACAACGTCTGCTGTTTAGTAGGCAGGAGTGAAGCATAAAAAAAAACAAAAAACAACAAGGAAGATGCATGAATTAAAATCGTTGTTCCTAACTTCTCACAGGTCTTTCTGTGTCACTCATCCACTGCATTCACTGTAAAGATATGGGCTTGTATGTTGTCAGTCGAACTTTTAATGATAAACTGGATGGGAAAAAATCATTACAAATAGACTATACAAGGCGCTACCCCTCTCTCTCTCCCTCTCTCTCTCTCTAGCTAAATTTAGGAAGATGATGAAAGAGAAATGAGCGTCAACTTTTTTTTTCTTTTTTGTTTTGTTTTGTGTTGTTGTTTCCCTCTATGAAGGCTGGCCAGCTCCTCATTCACCTCCATCTCATTAAAACTGAATCACACTCCAGTTGAGTGGCATACCACTTCACAGATTCAAGAGGTACGATGCACACTTTGTTTTTTCACTGAAAAGGCGACACACACACACACACGCACGCACACAGAACTCAAAAGAGTTCATATCGTTCAAATCAGCAGTTCAGTCATATCCAGGCTGAGGATGGAGGCCTAAATGAGCTGAAGGTTGAATCAAATGCAGAAATCGTTGCTCTTATGTTGCATTTTTACAGAACAACCATGTATCAACACGACATATAAATCTTGTTTTTGACATTTTCTGGCCAAAAGAAATGGACCTTACTGTATTGATTCAGCCTATTAACTATTTAACAACTGTGCAGCCAGCAGTGGGTGGAACTTCAGAGTCTCACTGGTAATTAAGGTTAACTATACAGCATGCTGTTCTGCAGCAAAGCATTCTGCAGAGACACTATTTCATGCTACAAACCGTGCACTTTTTTTTTTCTCATTCACATCAACATTACATCACCAGCATTCCTGTTGCATAATTAGCGAAGAGTGCAGAAAAGGTCTGCTGCGCCGGTTTGTTTTTTTTGGTCCAACTTTACCCCTGCTGCACAACCAGTCACAATTAAATCTGGAAATAGTCAGGAAGCAACAAACAAGTTCATTCTGTATGAATCATTCAGGTTCGTTGCTCACCCATTTCTGTCACCTTCCCATACTTAAGCACCACCACCACCTCCCTCCTCTCACCCACACGTACAGAACACACCTCACCATTTTCAGATGTTTCATTTCCAGACTAACAATAGCTACTTTGCAGTTAGGGGTTGGGGAAAGAAGAACTTTTCTTGTGTACAGTAGCAATTAAAATGACGAGCGAGTCCTGCTTGTTGCATAATTCCCTCAGCTAACACAAAGGGACCAATTTCCTCCTGAAACAGAATTGTAGTTTACATTACAATAGTTGAGGGCATGTGGGAGGAATGCAGACTTTAGATAGGAACATGCCAATTAATGTCGAAGGAAATTACAGAGGACAGAAACAAAGTGCTGGTAGCCAGTGGTCAGTGCGCATCAATCTGACTGCTGCTTCCTTTGTGGTTTTCTGATTAATTTGACGGTAATGAATGATGACAACACAATCAGTCCAAAATCCAGAATTTACTTTCTCTCTGTGGCATTTCTGTTTTTGTTGATATGTTGAAATGTGTGGTTTTGTTACAAAAAAAATGGAATAACTTCACCTACAGTGTGGACAGTGCAGAGAGGAAGTGGAGAATATCTTCTGATCATGGTGCTTTTGCCTAAGATGAGTCACCGCTTTCAAGTACCTACGAATATTCCTCCACAATACAGTATCCACTGTGTATCAGCAGGGGAATTCAGTGTGAGCGAAATTAGCTATTAAAGGGTTAGTTCGACCAAATCACAAAAAGCTCATTTTCTCTGCAGTCACTTTCTAGTAGCAGCCATACAGATAGTTTTAGTTTAATATCAGTTCTGGGATATCTTTTGACATTTTTGCTGCCATCTCAATGCAGTGGAGGTGGATGAAATTTGCTTTGTGGTTTTCAAGGTACTGAAATGTTGATATGAAAACAGTTTCTCTGGAGAGTGCACAGACCTCACTGTGAACTGTTTTTATTGAAACTATAGAGCTGAATTCATGGGTTGGCAGATTTCCCTGAGCAACTTGTTGGAAAGACATTTAGCTGTTGAGTTTTTCTTTTTTTTTCCAAATTTAATTAACATATTAATTAAATTTGACTGATGTGATTTTTGTCTATTTGTTTTCATCTTGGTGACTAGCCAGAGATCATCATGTAACCGGAAGGTCATAGCTTCAACTTTCCATCTCAAGACTTCATCCTTGCTTAATTCTGTTTTATTACAGCTTGGTCCTTATAGTTTTGGCCATCGTTTCTGGTTATAACATTGTCCTCACTAAAATTAGTAATTGCTGGTAAACCACAATATGACTATAGCGAAGTCCAAGCTTATCCCTCATTGCACAGCAAAACTATGTGCATGCACAACTAGTGCAGGTAGAAAAGGTCAACCAGAAAGTTGTTCTGTAAACTGTGATGGATTTTTACAACTGGAGTTCCCAGATCTCAGCAATTACTTTGGTGAGTGCAATCACCAATGGGAATTGCCATCCTAAACTACAAAAATAAAGGAACAAGTTGTAATTAAGTGGAATTATCCTTTAAATGGCCATCAATACAACGCAATTTCAGGACCAGCTCTAGCTGACAATAAACATCGTAGCCTACAAATAATTAACTAATTAACAGAAGAGCATGGTTTCAATAAGTTACTACCTCATGTGTAAGACAAAGCAGAGAACAGCCACTGCTCCCATAAAGGTTTTATAATTATACACACACAAAGCATCTCAGGGCTTCACTCGTACTCCTAAAGCCCATCCATCTTGTTTAACTTTATCCTCTGGGAACTTAAAGTAATCAGCATTTAGATTAAAAATGTAAAGACCAACTATAGATCATTTTATTTGTGGAGCATTTGTCAGGTCAAAGCTCAGCATTCTGCCAATTAAGTCTGACTCAACTCCACTGTAGAGTAAATTAATGAATAAGTGACACTGTCCGAGCCCTGGTTTGCTTGTTTGCTTTGTTTTTTTTTTTTCACATTTCCATGTTCTCGACAGTAGTTTGACAAGCAAATGTCAACAAAATCACTCTAATGAACAGGTAGGCAGCTCCAGAGCTCTCTGAATGCAATGTTGTTTTCCTTAGGGAGCAGACAGACAGATAATGCTGAAAAATGCAACTCAGACAAAAAAAAAAGAAAGAAAAAGAAACAATCGTGGCTCCATCGAACAACATCCTCCCAAGACCTGATCCAAGAAATAGGTTTACTGGGTTATCTAATTAGCTTTGTAAAATCCGAAATCAGTCAATGTCCAGGATTTGTTCCAGGTTTCCGATAACTCTCAGCGACTTCAAACTGCTTCCTGGTTGGACCAGCAGCCAAGGGCCTCAGTCAGGGAGAGGAGCTGTGGAATTGTTAAGTTGAATGAATGTGCCTACTTTAATTTCTTGATTTTGCATTACCTATTTATGCACTATGATTATGTGTTTATAATGACTGTATTATGATAGTGTAAAGAGCAACTTCACAACAGCTATATTTGGATAAAGTAGGTTTTGACTGCACTGAACACAGTCTGATGGGTCAACGTGTAGCCTTTGCAGGATGGACCCGCACTTAAATTGGCACTTTATCTGACAATCGAATGACACAGTTGTAGTTAAGGAAAGCCTTGCCTGGGTTTTCGTCATATCGAATACACAGCAGTAAAGTGAGAGGCCGTATGACTCATTTCTGTCAGACTAAAAAAAATTGTCTGGAGAATCTTAAATGCACATGCGTGAGACTATGCAAAAGCTGTTTGCTATATGGCTCATCTCTCACTGGACTTCACACATGCACATCCTTTCGTGCTGCCCACACCCTCCAAGCGAGCACGGCTTGCTGTGAGAGGCTCGGTGTGATCTCCTGTTTGTCGGAAGATAAAGGACATGGATATGACTGGACATACATTAGAGGCTGCGGGTCATCAGGTGGTCTTTGAGGCTGCAGCTGCCATATTTATTTCAAAGAGGAAAAAGGGGAGACAGAGCAAAAGGTGAAAAAACAAACAGGAATTAGCCCGTGCGATGAGACAGCAGAGGGGAGAAAGGTTGGGAGAGGAAAATAACAGAATTTGATGTCTAAACAGAAAATGAAGAAGCTGGGAATGAATGTGTGTGTGTGTGTGTGTGTGTGTGTGTGTGTGTGTGGGGGGGGGGGTTTAAGAATGCCAGAGGCTAGATGTAGAGTCACTGTAAATACAAGGTAGAGTGGTTCAGTCATAGTGAGATGAATATTAATGGTAAGCCCACTTGTCTTGACTGCACACTCACCATAATCATGTCTTAAATCTCAGAGGTAGTCAGGAGGACTACAGTAAGAAGGTAATCATATTATATTCATTCACACCTTTATCTTTGGAAATCAACAACAGAGCGATGCCAACACACAACCTGGTAAAAATACAAAAATACACATTTTAAAATTCATAACAAGGTGTTCAAATGCTCAGAAGAAAACAAAAACAAAAACAGTGAAGAACACTTTGTGCTTACTTTCTATGTGCTTATACTAATTTCAATGCCTTGTGTCTGTTATTAATAAATCACATTGAGGTCCTGTGTAAACAATTCACCAAATATACTTGAAATGAAAAGAATTCCCTATATTTATATTTGTGTTACAATCCTCTAACAAATACCTCATTAGAAATGCAGGCTATGGTTAGCTGCAGTCCAGCAAAATAAAGACCTCCTTATTACACAACAGCTTTGATCCTTTCAAATAGAGAGAGAAAATATCAGCGGTTTAAGATATTCAAGTAAAATGCTTTGGCTGACAAACACTCAGTTCAGTCATCTCGTATAATTTTGACAAGCGGCATCCCTTCTGTAAAAATGTCTCAAGAAACTCAGGCTACCTGAATATTATGTTCTGTTTTCTGTTTTCAGAACAGATTGTATCACTTTCGTCTTAAAACTGTGCGATTGAAGGATTCAAGGAGGAGTCTGGTGTTATTCCATATTTTTTTTTTCGTCAAAGAAATCCTCATGAAAAGACCAAAATGAACAATGAATTAACAAAATTGTGTGCATAGCCAAAGCCTGATATTGCTTATTCCTCGGCCATACACCTCCACTGCACAATTGATCCAGCATACACCATCCTGCTGCCGAAACCACTGTAGCAAACCTAATGTGGATTAATCCACATTTGATTTACTCCAGTTTAGTTAATATTTGCTAAAAACTACATCAGTGCCCAGCTGTTTTAGGAAATATCTTATCTTGAAACAAAATCAAATATTCATATGCTGTTTTTAAAAATGAACCTCTTCTGTGGGAGAGAACGGGCTCTCAGGGTAGTGAAGGCAGTGCGTATTGAGAACCTGACTAACACGTTGTTGGTTTTGGTCTTTTCATGGGATATGTAAACAATAAGAGAAATAAAGAGTATCACCCTCCATTCTCTTTATTCTCTCATTCTTAACCAATATGTCTGACTGAATTTCTCACTCCTCCCCTCCAACGACACCCCACCACTCCTGAGTGGGAACCTCCGGGCTCTTCTGGTCAGAGTCTCCATGAGGCCACTCTTCTCTCTCTTCCTGCTGTCCACCATCCTGCTCCCCCCAGTCCAGTTCTTTAAATGAAGTTCCCCCTGAGCTTCTGCCTCTGTAGTCTCTATCCCCTTGATCCTGGGTAAGCACAGAGGAGTGGACAGAGGAGGCCGCCAGGGACGTCTCTCTGCTGTCTGACAGGAGAACCCCACTCCCTGAGCTGTATTCACTGTTTGAGTCTGCACCTAGAGCAGTGACAAAACAAAGGGAGGGGAAGGACAGATGGTGAGAGGGCTTCTATAAACAAACGCCACATGAGAAAAGCCTGGCTGCCCAAAAAAATTCAGGGCTGGGATTCAACCAAAATCTGCATGATGGTATTTGGGCTGCACAGTGATTTTGGTCCAGAACAACAATTTTCTCTTCCATAATTTGTCCTTTATTTTACACCAAAAAGATGAATCATTTGTACATCGTATGCATGGAGCCAAATATCATAATATTCCTCTTGAAAATGCTACTTGAAATTAAACGCTGTCAGTATATCATAGTTCATAGTTCATATAATGAGACCACACGGTATGCTTTAGAAAGATTATTAAAATAGTTCAGGGCCATAAAAAATGTCCAACCTAAAGTGATATCATAACTTGGTAGCAATTTTAAGGCTGTCTCTTCTCAGCTATTTTTGAGGGATTACTGTATATTATATATATATATATATATACACACAGTATATAGTTTATGGTAAATCAAACCATTAAACTCCTTACAATTAATAGGATAATCCTGGCTTACAATGTCCTTTTATGCATCTAGCAGTTTTTTTCTGATGCATTGTTTAATTGTTATATTTTCATAAACCTACAAGTTATGCAGAAATAACTACAGTGCTGTTGCAATTTTGTTTTGTTTTGTTTTTGTTTTTTAGCTTTTTTGGATGACAGAGAACACACACACACACACATTTTCCTGGTTGTTAATGAACTAGGAGAGGAGCAGCAACACCTCGTGCTGTGACTTGAAGTTAATTAGAAACTCCTGGAAGCTAAAGGTCTCATGCTCTTTAATTGGACGGGATCACATAAGCAGCCCGACCACCTCTCCCCTCAGTGTTTCTGAGTTTGTGCTCCGCAGGTTAATAGGATCAGTGTCATACTTGTGTGTTCCAGTCTCTTGACCTTTTGTCTTTTTGCCTGTGAGTGTTTGCACATAACGCTCTTCTCAAGTCAATACATGTCCTTACACCAAGCCAGCCTGTCATTAACTGCAGACATGATGAGGATGATGATGATGATGATGATGATACACACGGATGGCAAGAACTAACCTTTCACATGAAACAGTGGATAGAAGGACGCTAATCATCATGTTGTAGGTGATAAATACTTTGTGACATGGGGCAAGCGATAGCTGAGGTTTGTGCTGTTAACAGAATAGTTAGCCGACAAACTCGAGGGACGTTTTAAGCAACGACTGCATCGTAATGTCACAGGTTGTCAGCGTTCAAAGTCACCGATTATAAATCAGCAAATGTATTTGCTCTGAAAATCCACTTAACATTTCATTGTGGGAATTCAACACTGGCTGTAACCTACACAAAATTAAACATGCACTTCAAGACAGAGGACTGTCAAAGGTGAAGAAAAAAAGACATCAAGTTTAGTGGCAGCAGCTGCTGACATTGCCAAAAAAAAACTCTGTGACAGGCTCTCAAAACAGAAAATTCATTCCTTGTTAAACTTCAAAAAGGTAGAAAACAAAAAGATTCACTTCAGAGGCATGTTGAACATCACGCTCAAGAGTCTCCCCACACTACAATACTAAAATACAGAAAGAGGAAATGGCATACAGTACACAACAGTACACAGCATTAATTACACCGACAATACTTTGTAAATTGTATCAGGAGCGACTCTGCTAGTTTATGAATAGATACTGTTTGTTCATGTGGGCTTACCCTGCTGCTGTGTGTGCTGTGTTGCACTTGATCAAAACATGAAAGTACTATAGGTTCATATTGTGTCACACGTCCCCCAAAAATACGATATTAGAAAAGATGAGGGAGCGAGAGAGAGGTATTGCAGTGGAAATGACCTCATGTTGACAGAGAATATGAGACTGGGGCTGGGATTGAGCACGCACTGGAGTTTGAACGTGAGGTGAACCACGAGAACTAACTGCATGTTTTATCTGCAGGGCTGATGAATGATGAATCATTTATTCCCGACAACAACATTAAAGTGGACTATGATTATTTTTACCTGGTGGAAGAAAAGATGTGTACCAGTTAGCGCTAAATACAATGTACAGTAGACAATGAGCTCCTATTTATCTTCATAAAGATGCACTCAAAATTCAAATCGAAAACAACCAAATTTGAATGTAGCCACAAGCTCTCCCTGATTAATTTACACCCACCTCATGTGCATGTGATTGATGGAGGGAGGAGGAAAATGAAAGAAAACATTAGAAATATGCAGACTGAGCTCTGAAAGAGCAACGGGTTTGGTCTAATGTTGGTTCTTCCTCTGCTGGTTGAATGCCTAAAGCAAGTCACAAAATTTAATCAGTCAATGGGGAAGAAAAATCCCATTTGGATTGGAAGATACATTAGGCATGATATCTTCATTTTTTAAAGGTGAAAATTGTCTCTACGTTTGATTGGAGGGGTTTCGTGGCGCCTTCAGGCATCAGTCTCTACATACAGTCGGAGTGACAGTTGATCCATTATTGGAACATGAGCGTGTCAAGATTTAATGTGCTTACTGCAACTTACTTTACAGAAGGATAATTATTATAATCAGGCTTAAATCCTGTCGGTTCAAAATCAGTGCAGATCAAGGTACTGTGTGTAAAGGGTGGCAGGCAGAAATGTGGACTTGAAACTTGGACTCAAGTCCGATTTTACTCCTCTAAGACTCGACTTGATGTGAGACTAGGAAAGCAAAAAACATTCAGTTGAAAATGTAAAAATCGGTAATTGTTTGTTTTTTAGGCTTTTTAAGATGTGGTCTCAGCTGTGTTAAAGGAAAAAACAAAAACACATTTGCTATATCCTTCAGTCGAAACACGCCATCCACTGCACACAGCAGTTGTGCAGAAGTGAGAAAATAAGCAGGGTTCGTACTTTCCTCTGAAGCTTTTTTTTCTTTCTTGCTTAAATTTTCACACTCTTACTTTTGTTACTTTACGGTAAAAGTCAAGTGCAATGCCTTCGAGGAAGAGCTTATCTGGAAGTGTGCACCATTATCTCTGTTTGAATGACTATCGCATTTTGCCCCTCTCTATGACGGCGAGCTTCTCATCCCACCTTCCAGTGTGGCCGTTCAGAGCAGCTATAAACACTTGATGAGCTTGATTTATACTTCCGCATTAAGTTGTACACATCTATATCAAAGCCACTGTCACTGCTCTCCATCACAGTAAATGATTGGCACTGTAAATATGGCATCTGTCTAGTGTTGTGGTGGTGAAATTTGACTTGCGGTATAACTTGGACTTGCTCTCATGGGCTTGAGTTTCAATTTGACTTGAACTTGCCCCCAAAGACTTAAAAACAGCGAAGCCGCTTGAGTAGCAAAGTGAGCTATACGCTCGAGAATGACAGGGTGATTTTTAGACGGCTCTCTGACGGAGCGAGGAGCCATGTGTGGGGAGGCTGGGGGTTTAATCCGGTCACTAATGAGTATGGGGGGAGGGATTGGAGTAGACGATGGGTGGGTTGGGAATCATTGGACCAGAGAAGCCTCCGGTGTCCCGAATGCTCCACTGACCTGGGTAAGTTGATACCAGTGTGACAGGAGCATGGCTACCTGTCACATTATCATTCACAGTCATGGACCCAAATGCCACTTGTGTTCTGCACCACGCTCGTGACACATGAAGAAGAGCACTGGATTTGTCAGCGTCGCTCAGTTTCACTCTGTTTTGTAGCAGAGATGCAGAGGGGAGCTTCTGAGGTGTCATGGGAGAAAGATGTGACACTAGATGTTAGAGGGTGGCCATGACCAGACAAATAAATTATAAACACGTGCTATAATTCTTAATTGAGTGGCTTTAACCAAAAAAAGCAAGAAAATAAAAGCAATTTGTTAACAATTGAAAATTTTGGAGGTAGATTTTCCAGAATCATTTCAAACATCAGAGTTGAATAACGGGATAAAGCCAGTGGGATAAATCAATCACTGTGCACCCTGCTCCACAGTGCGTACACAACTACACCAAACAGTGGAGGCTCACTTACTTCTGTCTGCTTTATGCATCTTAGACAGTTTTCTTATGCTTTCTGACTACATCTTAGACATTTAAGATTAATCTATTAATCACTTGGTTCATAAAATGACAGGAAATAGTGAAAAAAAAAAAAAAGCCCACCACTAGTTCCCAGAGTGTGATGCCTTTATGACATCTGTTCAAAACAGACAAAAGCAGCAAATTCTCACTTTTGAGAAGCTGGAATCAGAGAATATTTTGCATAAATTCTTGATGAATGAATGAATGTTAAATAAATAATCAATTATTAAAACTGTTGCTGATAAACTTTCTGTCAGTCGACTAATCCAAAAGTTGCTTTGGCGCCAATTCTCTATATTCCTAAAGAACCCATTCAATCTAATGCATGTTCACAATTGAATTTACACTGTAACATGCTGTCTAATGTGTATTTTGTTTTGTTGTTTGTGGTTTTCACATTGATTTGTGTCCTTTATGTTTATATTTGGTTTCACTGCAGCTTTATTGAATTGAACTGAATTGAACAATACGGCCTCTGCCACAAAGCCGTAGCAATTAGGTGCTATGAAGCCGTTATCATCAAATAGGCTTATTTTAACACTCCATTTGAGCTCATCCCTTCATCTCACTTCATCCAACAATGACTCCTCCAAACACTCCTTCACAAGCGTTTATGTCTCGTGACGATAACTCAGTGTCAACTGGAACTGTGTTTAAGATTTCCATATGGTGTCCGTGTAGCTGTGGACAACCCCTTGCTGAGTGTTAACACACTTCCACCAGAGGCTGCTGTGTCCGGCCTTTTCATTTACACCTAAGAAGGTGTCAATCACAGTTTTCTTCTGTGGGGCTGCTCATAAACAAAACAGCAGTAGGAACAAGGTCCAGTTCCCCTGGGTCCCACCCGAGCGGTGACGACCACAGCTGAATGCTGAAGCCAAAATACAGGCACCTAGACATGCAGTTTCTTGATGGCCATCAGAAAGTAGCTGACTGTATAGAACTACATGAGAAAAATTCTAACTTTTTCCCATTTTAAAAGCTGGTCAACATAGCGTAGCATTTAGCAGCTAAAGAGCCAGATTTTCCCTGAGGAGTTGGTGGAGACCAAGAGCAGAGCTGGTGTGAGCACTGAACTGAAAATCTGTCAGTTGGCAGCAACACAGCTGCAAATCAATGATATATATCAGTGTAAAGAAGCAACTGTTGTTCACAATGTCAACTTTATAAGCTGATAATACTGTATGTCACTTCTGTTTTAAAAGGCTCGTTCTGGGGAAGCAAGCAACCAAAAAAAGACCTGAAAAATCAATGAATAGTTAAATCTAATGAAAATATACAGAATGGATCAACACAGTGGCAGGTGTCAGATCCAAATCCAAGCTTCAAAAACTAATGCTAATGAGTGACATCACAGACTCTACATTCATGTTTTATAGTCCCACCAGATATAGTAATAAAGTATATAAGGCAGTTTGTGTAAATATGTCAAAACACAATAGTCATTATTTAATGCTTAATACTTATTGCCCTTCATTGTGTGACCATTTTTCACTTCTGAGGTTATTTGTGGAAGAAATGATGACCAGGATTATGTCCTCAGTGTGACACAAAATTAATAACTTTAAGTGTTGTACTCTAGATATCCTTCTACACATATTTTTTTTTTTACTCTGTAAGAAGATAATCACTTCCACGTGAAACTTGCATTTGTTGGCCTGCTTATGTTCTATATTTGAATGATGGGACGTTACATTACATCCACTTTCAGCAGTAACACCAGGAAGCCTGTGGTCCTGAGTGGCTCGAAGGGCTTTGATTCCCTCTAGGTTTATAAGTACAACAAAAATGTATGCGCTTATGCATTACTACATGAAGAACATGTACCTGAGATTTCCGTGTCACTGTGCAATTCCTCTGAGAGCCGTCTTTCTACCTGCCGGACTTCAGGTACATAGAAATCTCCCTGTCGAGCCAAGGGGGCCATGAACTGGATCTGACCGTCCCGGTAGATCTCCAGGAACGGGTGTGCACACAGCCTCCTTTCCTGCGAGAGATGTAAAAGTTGGCGAGAATAAAAAGCAAGTTCCTGATTTACAGCAAATGCAATGAGATAAATTAACATACACATTTCCTTTAAAGTTTGTGATTAGTAGCAATTTAAGCGCACAATTCCATTTTAATAGATGATAGAAGTGTCACAAACTGTTGATTATCTGGTGTATATCTAAAACTTGTAAGTGCTAATTTAATTCCCAAAGCTAAAATGAGTCCCATCAACACTCATTAACATGTTCGTGTCTACATACATGTACATGTAACGGACAGAGGAAACACCACAGTAGGATACAAGTGCAGACATGCAAATAATACCACAAGTCTGCTTCCAGTCAATCATGAGTGAAAATGATACTTGGTGACCTCACTGCTTCACCGCTGAACTCAGATCTTCACACCCTACATGCGACACATCTTAGATCTGTATAATCTGTCTTTATGAATGTGCAGCCTCCACACTGCCAGCCACGCTGCCTCTGTTAAAGCTGCTGTCCTTCCTCTGTTACTTGCCGCACTCCTCTAGAGGCTAGAAGTCTCACACGACCACTTCACTTCTGCAGGCTCATTAACCTTTCATAGACCATGTTTGGTTATTCTGCTCATGCAACGCCAATGTCTGTTACTTTCACCCTTTCGGCATATGCTAAATGCCAAGCAATATGAGAAACACACTGTGGCTGCAGTGCGGTAACTCCATATTAATGATTTAAAGTCAATTTGTTTTAATTTGCTAAAATTGATGTCAGGCTTCATCCCGATTTGTCCATTTTACTGCTGCCAAAGTGCAACAGATTAGCTGCTGCTTGATCTAATGTAACATTAAATAAAGTAGATGTTGATTATATTCTAGACTAGACTAAACCACAAGCAATATTATTTTGTTATGCTGAAAAGTGCTGTGGATTTGAGTCACAGACTGCAGCATTTAGTGGTTATTGCTTTGATTAAAAGAGTTTGGGGTATGGGTTCAATAAATTGAGAGTAAAAGCACGGTATTATGGTAACGTAGACCTCTGTATTCACACCTTGCACTCTTCCTCCATCTCTGAACCCTGTGTTTCATCACTGACTTGAACTGCATTAGCCCAAGCTTTTTAGACCATAAATCATTTCTTACATAATGGCAAATTCATGACAACTCTCCAAGAGTTGAAACTGTTAAGATTATTATAGTTTCTCAACAGATCCTGCGAGTACAGAGTCCCCATGCCCCTTGCTGACGTTCCACTTTCAAGCAAAGTGGATGTAACTGACAGGTAGTTACTGTTCAGTGGAACAACAGGAACGTCACACATGTAGGATATGATAATCAGGCTTGTAGATTGAACGCATACTTCAGAGGCACTCTTTGTGGGAGACAGCTAACTTCTTTTCAAACTCTGTCCTATCATCTCTGTCACCATCTGTCTCTCGGCCCAATTATGACAGCAGTGACGCTCCTCACGCTGCTGCAGGAACAACGTTGTCAGTTTCAGTGATTTCACCAACATCAATTATTGGTGCACATTTCCTTCAGAAACATCTGTGTATCCTCATTGGTTTGGCTCATCAGCCCGAGCCAGAGACATGGGCTGCTACATATTGCATACCGATGTGCATGTATGCATGATGACATATACACAGTAGTTTAACGTTGCGGTTCAGACCCCATCAATAAATGATCAAATGCGAAAAAATGAAGTATGGCTCAGAAACGCCGTCAATTCAACAGCTACACGGTGGGATTCAGCGTTCATATTTCACCGGCAAATTCTGATTTGTCAGAATTATATTGGCTTTCAGTTACAGATTATAATGGATGCCAAAGGCATTTTTATTTGGCTTGTTGGTGTTACATAACAAAGGACTGGAGAGGAGCTGACAAATACAATATTGCAGAGAAGATGTACTAAATAAGAGTAGACTTAACAGTCCAGTGGCACACTTAAAAAGATCCAAGCATAAAAGCATTACATGCTAAATGAGCGGAGTAAGGGTGGGTTTTAAAAGCACTGCATTTAGCCCTGGGAGAAAATAATAGAAACACCTGACTACAAATGTATATAAATGCACCTAAAATAGAGCGGAGCCACTCTGAACTGCTTCTCTTATTGTTTCACTTCTTTCATACAAATCCTCGACCGTTTGCAGGGAGACAATCGGTTCACTAAGGGATGAAGGAAGTGGACACGTGTTTGCTTCACTGCATCCTGTAAAAGAATTAGACATGTTCAGGTGTGATGATTCAGGAGGCTGCAAAAGATATTCAGTTTCTTACCGGCATTCATCACAGCAATTTCAAATTTGCTGTACGCAGTGTCCTGCCTCAGGTCTAGTGTCATTGAGAAGCTATTATTTGGTGGTGGGAAATGGAAACGTCGTGAGAATACTGTTTACAAGGGAAATTAGGGTACATCACGTCCTGCAAAATGGCCACATAGACCTTAGCAATTATGTGAAGGTGCAGAGCAAAAGCATCAGGATGTAATGGGTTCTGTAAGATGGCAAAAGACACTTCAGTTTAAAAACATGTTTTTGCACTCTCGAAATGTAAACACAACTGGAAGCAGGACAAAACGACCCATCAGGGCCTACACTGCTCAGCCACTGTGCCTTGATTGGCTGCCTTGAAATCTGCTCTTAAATTAAATCATTACTTTCCTTACCACATTATTTATTTTTGATTTTTTTGACTGTTGCATTTATAATTATGACCTAATTGACCTTTTTTTTCTTTAAAATACTTACAGTATATTCTTGCATAAAAACATCGGGCTTCTGCTCAAAGCTGAATGACTCATCTGTGCATCTTTTTTTGTAAGATTTTTCATATTTTCTTCTTTTTTTTTCTTTTTTGCCTACACACTGAACATCTACTAAAAATTAATCCCACTTGAAATGAATTCTCTGAAGGATCCATTAGCACATTAAAGCAGCAAATGATTAATGAAAAATCATTAATTAAAAGTACAAAAAGTATTAAAAAAATACTGTTTGGCAGGAGGCAGAAAGGTGAGCACTTCTGACTTTTTCAGACCAGCACTGATGGCCAGAAAAGTGGGCGGAGAGAGAAAAAAAGAAATGCTAAATGGTGATTCATATTGAATGGATTAATAATCAACAGCTAGATCCACTCTCTCCATGTGTGCTCTCTGTTTTACTGACTGTTGTTATTGCTTCATGCGCTGGAGGTTCTCCAGGAGGTTAATACCACGGGCACTCTTTCAAAATAAGAGACTTTCATTTTGCTTGAAAATATGACTTAAGACATAACCAAGATGTACTTTTCAGCATTCAACAACCTCAACTTGACAGCTTCAGCTGTTGAATACATTTATGACTTCAAAATCATACTACAGCTGTACAGAAAAGCAGATGAAATAGTGTGTATGCAAAAACAACAGAGCACATGGCAGGGCAGGACTTGGACTGTCTAATTAAGTGGTTTTCCAAGCGAAAAGAAAAACAACAAATGTTTTCTGGCACCAGCTTCTCCAATTTGCTGCTTTTGGGCTGTTGATCTGAGAATACAAGCAAGCTGGAGACGTCATGTTGGGCTTTAGGAATCTGTTGTTTAGGAAAAAGCGTACGTGTGTAAAATATTTCTGACATTCATTGACTAAAACGATCAATTGATTAATGGAGAATGTTTTTACTGCACTGACTGGTTAAGAGTGCTGATAAATGCAACACTATTCAGCTAACATTGTTATTCATCTGTGTCTTGACATTACATCAAGCTGAAAAATAACTGTATGTGACTTTATTTAAGACCAGTGAAAACCTCGATTCAAAATGATTTTGTTAAAATTTGTTGTGAGACTTGAGTACACCTTTATTATTTCTACACCCACACATGGAGCCTATACGTGTTACTAGAGTCACTGCTAGGTGCAAACTTAACCCACACCAGGCCGAGCAGGTTGTCAGGTCAGTTTTGCTGTGTCTTATGAACAGAAGACCCGGGACAGAGGGCAGGCCAATAATTAGACAGGCTGTGGAATCGCTGAGACAAACTGTGCTCGGTAGGCTTTTGTAATTGGGTAGGGGATTGTGCCTAGTGTATTTATTGATTTTGTTTGATTTTCTCCATAATCTTCTCCTACAGTATCAGGGCCACAGGGACCCAGGAGAGCACTTAAGGCAGTCCAGAGTATCAAGGTCATCGTAGGGTCATTTTTCCTCCACATCCTCCACAGTGCAGAAATGGCAATACTTTTCGACAGAAAGATATCTGTTATTTTGTTTCTCTGGCATGAAGACACCATTATATTGCAGTATTTTTTTTTTAAGAAAACAGACATGGGAAATTACAGGGGCCAGCAGAACATGACTGCACCTTACTTTGATTAAACTGTTTGAAAATTAAAAAAAAAAGAAAAGGCAGAGGCAGATCTGGATATAGCCATCTTTGCTTCATATTGCTTGTTTTCTTGTGTTGTTGTCACTCCCAGTTCGCCCTTGCCAACCATGATTGGAAATGCAGAGTAAGTCATGAATCATAAATGGGTAAATGCGATCACCCTGGCCATCACCAACACTTTGAAGTAGATGCTCCCCTTCACGAGCCTCACAAGTACATATCAGCGCATGCCAAAGCTGTTCAAAAGGTTCCATGCAAGCTCTGTTAATCGTTAAAGTGAGTTTAATTATTGAGCTAATTCACATGTCACAGTTAAATAAACCTTGTAATTATGGTGCTTTGTTGTACTGAAGCACTGTGAAAGAAAACCTGCATCAACAAAGGATTAAAGATGAATGAAATTAGTTTGAGTGTAGAGAATTGCCAAAAGCATCCTGCTAAAAACGCACACAGGTGTGTGTGACACTTTAATAACCTCTCACACATTCTCTCATGCTAGCTGTGTATTTGTAGCCACTCTGCAGCAGGGCCTGAGAGAATGGGGGAAGGATAGATGGTCTACATAAAGAATGAGGATGTGCTTGTGTCCTCTCTTTCCAGGTTCCTAGCCCGGAGACCAACATCTACATGGGATCCCTGTGCATACA